AAATGTTAAAACCCGTTCCTTTTTTGGAACTATAAAGCCGAAACAACTGAGCTGTTAACACAAACTGGCCAAAAGGATGAGGTAATTGTGTGCAAAGTCCCTTTTATAACAAACGTATCCTATGCGAGTTATGCCCCAGCCCCAAAATGTAAACAATTAGTAATTCAACCCGGATGTGCCACGCCCACCCCAATTTTTTTGCCATAGGTGAATTTATATTCAAAGTGTCTAGTTGTATTCCAAATATCAAGGTTCTCCATAAAATAGGTCATAAGATATACATACACCAAGATCAAAAAGACACAAATATGGTAAAACAAAACTCAAATTTGAAAAAATCACGAATTTCAATTTTGCTTTAAAAAAGCAATTGTTCTATATCTATGTAAAGTGCATGAGAAGAACATTAGGAAACCAAAAAATTAACCCTCTAGGTTAATTAGGTCACGTGTTAGAGCAGTCCAAAGTTGCGAATTTGGCTTTTTACGGATAGCTATAAAACCGGAAGTACATGTCTGGGGTCAAAGGTCAAAGTATCAAATGATAGCCAAGGTCAATGACCTTTGACCCTACAAAGGTCAAGGTCATCAAAGGTCAAGGTCACGAGATACAAGCCTTCAAAAATTGAAAAAATTCGACCGGAAGTAGCAAAAAAGCAAAAGTCAAATTCAAAAATCCATTTCCAACATTTTTGTCGCCATCGACTAAAGTATACACCAACATAAAAATTTGACCAATCCCATTCTCCCCCGAAGCCCCATTTAGAGTTTTATGAAAAAGTATCAAATCAAGATGGCGGCCGAAGTATTTTTTTCGGACTAAATTTTATTTTAAAATCGGCCATAGAATTTAGTTTAATAACGATATACATAATTTCGTTGAAATATTTCAATCACACCGGAAGTTATTCAACCGGAAGTGAAAATCGATTTTCCACTTTAACCGGAAGTGACGCAAAAATTTTGAATACGTCAAATGGTTTACATTAGTGACATGCATCTTTTATCAAAATTTCAGATTAATCCAAAAAAAAATGAAAAATGGTCCAAAAAATTTCGAAAATCGGCCAAAAAATGTCTGCGACAAATTTTCGAATTTTGAAATTTTGAAACTGCTATTCTTTCAGATTTTAACAGTAGATTCCAAAAATGCAAACCCAAAGAAAATCGACCGAAAAATACGACTTCTAGAGCCGATTATCTATTCTTGCACATATTGAACTGTGGCACTTCCGGTTTTGCAAAAAAGATCCAAAATATACTTAAGCACTTCGTCGCCTATATCTAAGGTTCGTGAATGTTGAATTGTTGCTGCAACTATTGTAGTCTAAGCTCAGGAAGGTGTGTAAATTTCGAAAAAAAAAAAAAAAAAAAAAAAAACCGGAAGTGGAAGCGAAAAATGAAAGTAGCAGCGAATAGCCAAGGTCAATGACCTTTGACCTTGTAAAGAGGAAGGTCAACAAAAGTCATGGTCAAAAATTGAAATTAAGGAAATTCTAAAACCCATTCCCTTTTTTGAACTATAAGGCTAACACAACTGAGATTTTAACACAAACTGGCCAAATGGATGATGTAATTGTGTGCAAAGTCCCTTTTTGAACAAAAGTAAACTATGCGAGTTATGCCCCTATCCCAGATTTAAACGATTTGCAGTTTAACCCGGATGTGCCAAACCCACCTCAACTATTGTCATAGTTCTATTCATATTAAAAATGTCTAGTAGTGTTCCAAATTTCTAGCTCCTACATCAAATAGGTCATAAGATATACATAAACTAAGCTCAAAGAGACAAAAAATATTGTGAAAAACATTTAAATTTTAAAAATATACATTTTCATTTTGCTCTAAAAATAGGATTGTTATACATCGCTGGAAAGAGCATGAGATGCACATTAAGAATCCGAAAAAATTAACACTCTAAATTAATTAGGTCGCGTGCTGGAGCAGTTCAAACTTGTGAATTTTGCTGTTTTCAGACCCTCATAAAACCGGAAGTAGATATCGGATGCCAAATGTCAAAGCATCAAGTGATAGCCAAGGTCAATGGCCTTTGACCTAATGAAGGTCAAGGTCATTAAACGTAAAGGTCATGAGATATGAGCCTCCAAACCTCAAAAAAATTCAACCGTAAATTGCAAAAAAGCAAAAACGAAATTCAAAAAATCCAAGCAATTTTGGGCAATCAATTGCAGTTAACAAACACATCAAAATTTCTCACATCCATCTCTACCCTATGGCCCCATTTTGAGTTTTACAATAGTGTATCATATCAATAAGGCGGCCATAGTATGACTTCCGGTCCGGATTTTTCTTTCTTTGTTATTTTGTCTTAAAAATGACTACTGATCAGCATTGTAAAGGTCAAGGTCATCAAAGGTCAAGATCACGAGATATGACCCTTTAAACTTCGTAAAAATTCAACTGGATGTTGCAAAAAAGCAAAATCAAGAATCGAAAAACGGCTTCCTAATGTCATGTTTTTTTTTATCTTTTCATTCAACACCAAAATCATTTAAATCGAATAAAATCGGATTTTTTTTTCTTCGTTTTTTTGTCATAACTTTGTCTACTTATCAGTATAAAATTTGTTGAGCTCTACAAATTACACCGGAAATTATTCAACCGGAAGTGAAAATCAATTTCCTGTTTAAACGGAAGTGAAGTTGAAAATTTGACTGTACCATTTTGTTTACTTTCTTAAACTGTCTTTGCTCAATTTTTTTCAGATTAATCAGACAAAAAGCAAAAAAATTGAAAAAAATGCAAAATTTGGCAAAAAAAATGTCTGCGACAAATTTTCGAATTTTGAAATTTTGAAAGTGCTATTCTTTTAGATTTTGCCAGTAGATTCCAAAAATGCAAACCCAAAGGAAATCGACCGAAAAATGAGAGCAGATTTTCTATTCTTGCACATATTGAACTGTGGCACTTCCAGTTTTGCAAAAAAGATCCAAAATATATTTATGCACATTGTCGCCTATATCTAAGGTTCGTGAATGTTGAATGGGTGCTGCAACTATTGTAGACTAAGCACAGGAAGGTGTGTAAATTTTGAAAAGAATTGACATTTAGATTACAAGATTCAACAAACCATGGCGCGTACCGAACGTCCGATAATGATTACAGTGCTTATTTGTTTAACCTAATTAACGTAACAGTGCACACGGCGACTGTCGACAAACTAAGACCATTATCCAGAACCAGTAATTAGTTGAACTTATATCAAAAAAGAGGCTTGATAATCTTGACCACAAATCTTGCAACTCGTTAGTGTTTTTGATAATTGATACCCTATCTATTAATCTCAATTATTCAAAGAGATAAAGATGTTTATTTACTAAAGAAAACAGCTTAAAGACTTATACAGTGATGGATTTTCTGTCAAAATTGCTATCTTTTTACTTCTTATAAAATTCACGGTTAACCGATTATCTCAAATCAGACCCGGTTACCTGTGAAATACTACCCGAAATTGGTTAACTGATTAACCGTGTTAACACTAGTTTGATGTCATCAGTCTGTAGGCGTGTTCTGGCATGTTTTGATGCTCACGGTGGACATACCCACTACTGACTTAACTGTGACGTGTGGTGAGACAATTCCCATTGTTTCTGTGATCAGTGCTCTAACGAAATGTTCATTTTTTGACCCCACCCATCTTTAAAAGCTTGTCATATTGGTTGACCAGATTTTATTGAAATGAAATTTTTGTACAGATGTTGTGAAAGGATTTCTCAAAAGCATAACACCAATCCTAAACTTCTGCATTGTTTAGTTTTTCTTTTATGTCGTTGCAAACAGGTGGTATCGTTTCTTTTGGACACTAGTTTATTTTCAAGAACAGGATAGAGTTGGGAGATATGAGATTTTTTGTGTATCGCCTCAAGACAAGTTTTTAAGGTTTAAATAACGTGATATACAAAAATTTACAGGAATAAACAATTTGTAATGTTATAAAGTATCCTGTTTATAGTTTCTACTTTTAGTTATTTGAAAGCTAGCACATAAGGCCCAAGATCTAAGACACATGATCAGATTTTGATGTTGACATGGCAAAGTAACCCAGTATATTTGAGGCTGAAGAGGTTGAGTTATTCTCTATCAGTTAGTCTTTTGTTTATCAATACCAAAGGTATCTAGTGTTGCATTCCTGTTGTTAGGTATGTGATGCACATTGTGATATCAGTCCCTTATCAAACTCTAGTGTTTACCAAAATGCAAGAGTGTGAGATATAGGCGTCGTAACACTGCTCTCGAAATACCAATAGTTTGTAGGAAGCAGATTGATGGGCTGAAAGAAGATAAATTTCTGACCAACCTCCACAAAATGACCCAAAGTGCCCTAGTAAGACTTTAAGGAGCCATGTTACATATCTAATAATCTAATCAGACATTTTGGCTATCGTATAAAATATAATGCTGAAAATTTTTTTAAAACTGATCAGCATAAAGTTAGCAACTGAATTTAAGAATAAATAGATGAGGTTGTCTTAACGTTTAAACTAGCTTAGTGCTAAAATCTCACGATATCATCTTATTGCAACAGACTTCATCCTGTGGTAATTACAAACACTCACACACCAAGTTTCATCTTAGACACACAAAACATTGGAGGAATAATTTTGATATTAGTTTTATTATTTTAAGCCCCATTTCATGTGGGCGTATAAAAATGACTTTTTCACAATGGAAAGAAAAAATGTTTCATAGTCACTTAAATATTCCTAAGGGATTAGATTAGAAAAGGGAAAGTTTGAAAGCACAGCAGCATTGGCCCCCGTGTATCTGATATCTAACTGTTGAGATCTGGTAGCAGAGGGTCTCAGTTTATGTCCATTAAGACTGCCATTGACCTGCATCAATTTAAGGGTGGGAACCAAGCTGAAAATATGCATAAGGTTTTAGATCTGAAAAATGTTGAGGCAAATTCAAGTTGCAGTGTTTTTAAATTATGTGAATTCCTCAAACAACACTTATTGAAATTTTTCCTCATCACTTTACCTGAATTAATGGTTTGTCTTGCATCCACAAACAAAAATGTAATCCTTTCCATATCTTAAGGAAATCTTCAGCGCTGAATTCTACAAAGAGAAAAATAAATTATGTTACCAGCAATTCAATTATTCTCAAACCATTATTTCAAAGATAGTTCTTCATTTGTTTCATGTTAATTACCATTTGATTAATTGGTGTTTAATTGGTCTAATGTCATGTAATAATACATGAATCATGAACGTTGTAAATGGAAGGCCTGGGGAATCCATTGAACTCAAATCTGGTTGGAGTAGTTGGAGAAGCTGAATCATGACTCCCAGCTTTACATCTGCCATTTTAAATCTAGGGAGGTCAAGCACACTCGAATTTGATCAAAGTGATACTATCATCTGAGCAAAGTAATTTTTTTTTTCCAATATTTTTATGAGAATTGGAATAACAGCCTCAAAATAGTACCTGAATGTCTGTGTTGAATGAGTACAAAATTATGTCTTCAAACTTTTTTTTTTACAGAGGACAATTTTGGTACTTTTTGAAGTTGAAACTTCTAAGAAAGAATTGTGCTTCTCTTAAATGTCAACTTACAAAAAATCATATTTTTATCAACGCAAAGATATTTTGAGACTTATCGGAAAAGGGCATTCTGTAAACTTTTTGTCAGGACAGATGTGGCAAATAGACCGAGCCACTGCCATGACCTATAATTCCTATCCTCTCTGTGCCAGGTATAATGGACCAAAACATCTGTCTCTATTCCAGTCTCTGATAGATATTTTGACAGAATATGTCAGCTGGTGTAGAGACAGAAATAAGAAGCCATGTTAAATGGGGACATTCCGCATCTCTGCGGGTGAGGGGGTTTTATACCTATTTCTATACCTCGGATCAGCAAAACCCATGTATATTTGAAAAGACGAATATTTGCTTTACCACAACTCTCTAAATGGTAACACACACATATACATCAATTCGTTTCCGAATATTTATGCCCCACGGGTAGTAAAAAAAAAGAGTGAGAAAAAAGATAGCAGATTATGGGGGCTGCCATGTTTGTTGACAATTAGATCGCAGTCAATCGGGGTAGTTTCGGAATGAATATTCTGTAATTCTTTAAAAAAATTACGACAATTGTTTCAAACACAGAAAGGGATGTTTAGTACCAACTTAACAACCCTTACATTTTATTTTTATTTTTCCTGGATATTTTGTGCGTCATAAGGAATAAAATGACAGCCTTGACCTAATTTCCCAAGACTTCCAGGCAATGATGGCGGCTTTGTTGACATCATACGTCACGTTATAATGACGTCATCGCTATAGATGATTACTTTCACACCTTATACAGATTTCTCTAGATTTGTTTGCAAGTACAGACCTTGATATATCCATAGTCTTCTATCGCATAGAAGATTGCCTTCACACAGTGACATATGATTAGAAGACAAAGTAGTTTGCATTACATACAGATCAGGTTGAATTTTTTTTAGTTAATTATTAATTATTGTTATTTTATCATAAAAAAAATCTGCGCTCTCATTCAAGGCCATGCCTTCATTCACATTAAAACCTACTATAATTCCCGGCCACAGATTATCCAAATGGCATCAATAATCAACATTTAAGGCTATATAGAAAGGCCTACGGCTATAATTAATGTTATCAATGAACTTTCACATTATGAATACCTTTTTTTGACTTAGAACGAACATGAAGATATTTTCGTATTTTCTTAATTGCTTTATCTCTTATTCTTCTTTCATTGGAAGCTAATCTCTGTACAAACATAAGTTCCGTGGATCCAGTTGCCATTTTCAATCGCCAGCACGTGGGTTCATTTGTTTTTATTCGGTTTCCGGGTTGAAGTTAACTACACATCAATCACCTTACAGGTTCAACTTCATACAGTACAGAAGATTCAACAACGGAGATATAAGTGTCTACTTTATAGACTCGAAAATAATATTCCAATAAGCACTCATTTTTCTTGTAACTATCAAAAGTTTATTTTTATAGACGTTTTTGATTTCAACCACCTGCATTTGTAAAACAGAGAGTTACTGAATACGGAGTCCACTTCAACCTTCACAGGGACATAATGTACATTTAAAGACGATTCGACCAAACTTTTCCAATGCAACATTTATCTGGAAAATTCTGTTTATCGGCAGATAAAATTCGTGTAGCATTTAAATGGGTTGGAGTAGTTTTAAATGTTAATTTTCGGAAAACTTTAAGTGCATCTTTTCACCTCCGAAGACCATCAAAATAAGCCGAAAGACTATCACATTATGAATCAGGTTCTTTTACACAAATTATTTTTCGGTGCCTTGATTATGAATTTTCACAAGGTCAAGGTGACGTGTTGTCATATTCTCATTTCACCCATAGAACTGTTTACTGTTTTATGTTTGATAAATTTTTAATCGTAGCTAGTATAAAATAGTAGCTATTCGTGCCAATAGTATCGGAGACTGAAAACCACCGACATTACAACTACCATCGCCCATCACAAACAAGATAATGACCAGAGACAGGAGACCAACCCAGCAGTCAAGATATTTTTTCAGAGCTTGCATTGTCTTCAGCATACTTCTGTCATTTCAAGGCAAGCCAGTGACACTCCTACACATGGATTTCTATTTAAAATTTCAGATCTTAATCGGTTTGTGAAACCAACTTTGAAAAATCCTGATATTTCCTTGGCTATCGAGTCCAAAAATAATGTTTAGGCTAAAAGTGTGGCAGTGGCACTTAAGAATCATGATTCACAGCTGACCAAAAAAGTGATCAGAGCGTGCAATATTTTGGAATATAATTTGAAAAATTTCACTTCAGAAGCAATTTATTGGACTAAAAAGTCATATTGCCAAATCCAAAAAGATAAACTTTTCCAGTATGAAAAGATCATAGACTTCTTGAAATGCGTAAGTGTAGTTGAAGACATGGAAGCGGAGTCAACTCAACCCAAATTTACACTGTGCTAATACTTCCTCGCTTTAACTTCCACGGGATGTCCCCCACTGCAAAAAGTATTTATTTTTCATGGGTCTCCCATTTAAACTGAACGCAGAGGGAAAATGCTCTCAAATTAGGAGGAACTACGATTGACCTCAACTTGCGAAAAACTTTCTCCCTTTGAAGAAAGAGTTTTAGATATTTATTCCAATATCCAAACCTCTCACCAATGTACCAATTTTATTGTCGGTTTAAAACTAATACGGTTTTTAAAGTTAAATTTCCTTTTTTCGGAATAGACTCGGTAGACGCAAGAGAGTACCATTTGTTAAAAAGTCTATTTGGACTCCCCCAGACAGCAAGCACGATTGACTCAGACATTTTGGCTACTTGCAATAAATTATATGAAGAAATATATCATTTACCATTACTATTGAAAAGTAAAAATAATTATTTTTTGACACTATTGCTTGCTGATTTCACTGTCAACATTAATCAGGGTTCACATAGCCGTGAAAAACCCTTGAATTCCGTCCGTTGCCTTGAAAAACCTTGATTTCAAAAAAGGTCTTTGAAAACACCATAAAAAACCCATTTTCTCTTGAAAAGTCCTTGAATTTTGAGTCGAGTCAAATTGTGTATATTTTTATCATTAACCCCATTGACAAATATTAACTATCTTTGTTGATTTCACAGTTCAGAAGTTAGGTACATGTGTATTCTGTCAGACTAATATCATTGAAAAGTCCTTGAATTTCAAAGCCCAGAGTCCTTGAAAAGTCTTTGAATTTTTGAGGCAAAGTGCTGTATGAACCCTGTAAATGCTAACTGAATTAATTGTTGATACTATTGCTTGCTGATTTCGCTGTCAACACTTTTGCTGACTGAATTAATTGTTGACAGTATTGCTTGCTGATTTCGCTGTCAACACTATTGTTAACTGAATTTATTGTTAACACTATTGCTTGCTGATTTCACTGTCAACACTATTGTTAATTGAAGTAATTGTTGACACTATTGCTTGCTGATTTCACTGTCAACACTATTGTTAACTGAATTAATTGTTGACACTAATGCTTGCTGATTTCACTGTCAACACTATTGTTAACTGAATTAATTGTTAACACTATTGCTTGCTGATTTCGCAGTCAACACTATTGCTTACTGAATTACTGATGTGTAACTTACTGAGTTCTGTTGTCTGAAACTAGTATATGATATATTTATGCTTAATATAGTGATGTAAACTTGAACCTAGTATAGGCTTTTTCTTAACATTTGGTTATGCCTAAATGCTCATCATCCAATATTTAATAATGATTAGGTGATATGAAATACTTGCAAACTTTCTTACCATCAAGTGTTAACAGTCTGTAAGACACACAGAATATGGTACACACATAACTTGATAATTATATATTTAACTACAATGGTTGACCTTTTGCAACTCTTGTTATATTTTCAGTCAAGTCCAATTTGGCAAGTAAAACATTCCCACCATGAGCAGTAGGGTATATTGTAAATGGATAGAAGTCGCTAATTGATAACATCAATGAAGTTTGGTAAACCAACATATAATCCTAATCATCAGAAAGGTAAATACTAATTAGAAGTCATCCATTAACATGGAGATTAGCATGTTGCCAACTGATACAAGACTGCTTTGAAATATTTGTATTTGATAAAGGTGAGTGATGGGAGATAGTAATATTGTAGTTGATAGTGACTGTAGATAAAGATGAGTGATGGAAGATGGTAATATGATAGTTAATAGTGACTGTAGATAAAAGGTGAGTGATGGAAGATAGTAATATTGTAGTTAATAACAGTGACTAGATAAAGATGAGTGATGGAAGATGGTAATATGATAGTTAATAGTGACTGTAGATAAAGGTGAGTGATGGAAGATGGTAATATTGTAGTTAATAACTAGTGACTGTAGATAAAGATGAGTGATGGAAGATGGTAATATTGTAGTTAATAGTGACTGTAGATAAAGGTGAGTGGTAGAAGATGGTAATATTGTAGTTAATAACAGTGACTAGATAAAGATGAGTGATGGAAGATGGTAATATGATAGTTAATAGTGACTGTAGATAAAGGTGAGTGATGGAAGATGGTAATATTGTAGTTAATAACAGTGACTAGATAAAGATGAGTGATGGAAGATGGTAATATGATAGTTAATAGTGACTGTAGATAAAGGTGAGTGATGGAAGATGGTAATATTGTAGTTAATAACTAGTGACTGTAGATAAAGTGAGTGATGAAAGATGGTAATAGTTGATTGTGAATGTTTTCTACTTTATATGGGCCTTTCCACTGCGTAAGTAATTTATTGTGATCTGTAGGTAGAAGAAGCAAAACTGAATCTCTAATTTTAATATTCTTATCCTTGGATTTTTTATAGTAATATTTGTACCTTTTACTGGATTTTAGCAAATTTTCTCTAGCTAAATAACAAGTATCTTCTAATCTACGTTTTAGATCAATAACATACTGATACGTAGTCTTAACCTCATTAGTTAAAGTCTCACCTGTCCACAATTCGTGAAGAATATGCATCGGCCTCGAACATTTCTTCCTATAATAATTCGAAAGGACTAAATCCAAGACTCTCTTGAGGGCTTTCTCAAACAATGCAAACAAAACAGGGGCTAAATACCTATCCCAAGTTTTTGATTTTTCAGCACACATCTTTTTAAGCATCGCTTTAAGAGTACCATTAAATTTTTCTACTAATCCGTTACATGCTGGATGATAAGGAGTAGTGACAAGTTGTTTAATGGTCAACCAATTGGTCACATTCTAAATCAGTAGAAGTAAACCTCCTATAGATTAAACTATTTTTGACAATAAAAGTAGAAAAATTATTACCTGAAAATTGTATGATGTCTTTATCTACTTTTTTACGAATACTCTCTAGTGAAATATCCGATGATTGGCCAGATTTGATTTCAGCCATACTTACATTGTCAATATCAGATTCTGGAACTACCAAACGTTCTAGTGGTTTATTCAAACGCTTACTTTGTGCTCTTGTTAAGACATTTATAACTTCAGATTTCTCCTCTGAAACTTCACTACAATCAGACCAACCTTCATCTGGTTCGAGCACCCTCTATGTTACCTATGATAACATCACAAATAGGATTTTCCATGCATATAGCTTGCAAAGTGCCTGTAAAATAAGGTGTGTTAACGACAATTTCAGCGACTCGTACTTGTTTACTCGAACCATCTGCCAAAATACATTTCTGTATTTCTCCTGTATACTCACTATCTAAAACAAGAGAATCTTTCACAACAGCACTCAAACAGCCAGTGTCTCGTAATACACTTACTTTAACATCATTTATATAACCATTTATATAACCATCAGGGAATAGGCATTGAACAGTTATAAGCCAAAGCTCTTTTACAAGATGCACTTAAATATGAAATTTCATCTTTATCGATACCATCATCTGAAACACAAGCATTAACTGAATTATTAAAGTCACGCTTTGGTTTATTAATACTATTTCTCTTGGAGTTGTATTTTTGTTTTACATCGCGATATTTCTGCTGGTTACTATTACCAACAACTTTATTACCATTTCGTTCTGAATCTATGGAAACAGATGCAGCATTTGACCTAATGTTATTCAATAAAATACAATTCTTCATTTCATGATTGGTCTTCCTACAAATAAAACATCTTTTTTGATAGGCATTATTAGCATCTTTATTATTTTCATTTTCCTTGCTCTTTTCAGTATACCTACCGTGTGCTATCATGAATCGATCTGCTATTTCTGCCATTTCTTTTACCGACGAAGGACATTGTTCTTTTAAAAACATAGATAAGTCCT